AAAAAATACCATCGAAAGACAGTAAGTTCCCCTCAGACATACATTCATATAAACTCCTACCCCTAACTGAATCGCGATTTGTTTAGCATCTCAACCGATTTGAATCGTCACATATTTAAATCAATTTTCAACCGGCTCGCGGTTAATCGTTACATCCCTAGTTTTTACTGTATTTTTTTTCCATCAAATAAATGCAGTCTTGGCGAGAAGGGACTTCTTTCAAAAATCTTACTGACCCCAAACACAAAGCACAAATTATTTTTGACTATTCTGAAGAAACATCTGTGAGCCATTCCCACTGCATGTCCACGCATAAAAGTGTGTGTGTGTGTTCTGGGAATACTCCAGTCCTCTGCACAGCTTGCTCAAAAGCAGCAGCATCATGCCACAGATAGATGTCCCATTTTAAACCTTCACATACACACACAGCTGCTGCAGACCTCTTACTACACCACCTGGCAGTAACTATTAATAACTACCGGTGATAATTTAGCCCGCAGTGTCCAGAAAACATTGAAACACCCTCAAAGAATAACCCAGATAGAGAGAGAGACAGAGAGATCATCACCTAATTTGAGTCGGTTTTTCTTCAGTTCAACAGAAGGACAGACAACCTCATACTGCTGTAAGTGTCGGTATGAATATGATTCAGTCAAACATTATCTTTTCACTTTATAAATAAATGTAAAGAACAGCAGAACCCATATTAATATAGCTCTATAGAACAATGACAGACAAATGAATCCCTATTTAGGGATGCCTTCCTCTTACAAGCTCCATTACAGTGTGGCTACCGATTCATCATGCTAATCTGCCTGAAGGGGAACTGATTGTGCCACACTGTTTTCAACAGCCTACATCTGTATTTATACCCACATAATTTCTACTGATATTTTTTTCTCATTAACCCACACCTCACTTCAGTTGCCTTGTAGGAGCAAGAGAGAGATGCTCACCACTTTAATGGACTGCTAAAGGGAAGCAAAGCACATTTACCAGTAGGTAAATTCTTCTTCACAAGTCCTGAACACATGGCTGGACTTGAGCAGCAAGAACACCAAACTGCGATCAAATGAGGTTTGCACTGAATAAATCCATTCACAGAGAGAGAAACATATACTCTATCAGTCTCACCTTGACCCCAGAGGACAGGAAGTTGCTGGTGTGAACTTTAGGAGCAGGTGATCGAGCACCATGGGCTGTGCTGCTCTGCTTGGCTGACGGACTGCCTTAGATCAACACATGAAAACAGCAGATATAACAAATATGTATGACACTTCATCTGACAAACAACCAATTCCTAATGCAAGTGTTTTTTCCGTATTGTGATGTACATATGAGTGAAATGGATTTTCACTCATATGTACAGCAGCTTAACTGAGCTTAACGTGATGTCTGACATACACCACCAGAGAGAGGTCAGTTGGAAGATGAGGTTATGACATTTTTAAATTAAAATCGAAACATTCATGCATCAACTGTTCACAACAAGATCAATAACATGCATTTAGAAAATTGAATTTTCATTTAATTCCAACTTCAAGACCTATTCAAACAATTACTGCAGCTCAACAAAATCAAAAACAAACAACCAAACAGAATGCATTTCTATGGACCCCTTCCACAAGCATAAAAAGAGTGTTTTCTTTTACATTTGCTTAGTGATTTTTGTGTGTGTGTGTCAGTATATCATGAGTCTGTGTCACAGAGCTTTTTGCTCTTACACAGGTTTAAGACTTTTTTTCAGAGGTTGACGGAAATTTAAAACAAAATTTCAACAAAGATTTGCATCATTTTGGCACAAAGAGGTTTTCTATCTGCATCTTTGTGTACAATGGAATAGTTACTCTGCAGCTCATTGTTTAACCTAAATGTGTTAAGACTGAAGCTCTACTATTCCATGCTCAATTTCTCCAGTATATCTGTGTGAACTGACAAAACAAAGGAGTTCATTTACTCCAAATCTCATAATGCACCATCCCCCAGGATGGTTGGCATGCAGCTTCTTCTCCAGATTCACAGCCTGATTTTCACAAGCACTGTTCTCCACTAACACAAAGACAGAGATCTTAGAGCTCAAGACAAGCATACAGTGATTTTCCGAAACTGCTCTGACACTCCGAGACTTAAAGTCAAATTAATTTCCATTCAAATAGGAAAAGGAATTAAAATGACTAAAGTTGTCATAACATACCGTTATTTCAAAGAAATAATTTTTTAATTTCTATAAGGTGATTTTTATTTGTATAACAAGTTCCCACAGACAACTGAATGAATCAGGACAGTGAAATAGCTTCACTCATCTTCATGTAATAGATACATTTTCCCTGTAGGGAATCTTAATTGCTGGACGATGCCTTAATTCATAAAAGCACGTAGCAGAATATTTATATGTTGCTGTTAGTTTTAATTCAAAGCAGCTGTTTCTAAGATGTCCAGTCTTCTTTAATGGCTTATTTTCATGCCGTTGTATGAATTCTGCAGAGGCCTTATCAGAACACAGCAGAGTCATAATAGATTGGCTGTGTTTTAAAACTTAGTGAGCTGGATACAAAGACAGCATTTTTTTGCAACCAAAGATCCGCTCAAATCTTTGAATAAAATGTTTGAATCATGTGTCTTACTATACCTAGATAGCATTTAGGCATCAAAGGCTTGTTTTCAGTTTCAGCATCCAACCTGTAAACAGGATTTCTGCAAGTTTTAAAAGGTAAATTTAAACTTGTTTAAGACCATTTTAAGACCAAGAAAAGAAAATACCTCTGCTTCCGACCACTAGAATATGGAAATTAATTTTAATGTACCTTCTGATCACATTGCAATGTTCCTCAGTATTTTTTTTATCTTGTTTTTCAGTGCAAATGTCTACACATTCTTAAATCAAAATACATTTACTTGAGAAGTAAAATGACAGAAGATAATTGTTTCCTGTGAAACAGATCAAAATGAAGTGAGTTTAGAATTAAAACAAGAACAAATATTTGCTAGTGTGCTCAGAAATCAACTTGAAAGCATTTTCATACCTCATTGACAGATATTTGTTCTTGTATTAAGCATAAACTCAATTTATTGTTTTCAATTTATCAGTTAATTTAGAAAATATATCTTTATTTATGAGTGTTTAGGTATTTGTACTGGGGGAAAAAAAGAGTGTATTTTTTTGGTCATAATAGAATTATCTTAAGTGTCCTGCCAACACGTCAAGCGTTCTACATTTCACACAAATGCACTCATGATGCCCCATAATGCTGTCTACATAGACAGCCATTAGTTTTTGAAAACCAGCAACTTTCTAAAGCCCAAGAAAAAAAGACAACTATGATTCCGGCAGACATGGCACAGAAAATAGTTTTAAGTTTTAAGTAGTATTAGTACGTTTGTTTTTGTTTTGTCCGTCTCTAATGGTCACTATGTTGCTTTAGCACCACAGCACAGAGCTCTGACCACCCACCCACACACACACACACACACACATCTTCCCTGAGAGCATGTAGGTGTGTTTCTGTGAAGGCCTGTGCGTGTGTGTGTTGTAAAGATGTTAACAGAGGTGCCAGAATGCAGTTATAGGTGATACAGCATTTGAGAGAAGCACATCAGCTGTGCATCCATGGAGGTGGAATTTGTTCTTACACACACACACACATTAATGTTACATTAACTGCATTCTCCACACACTCCTAAACTCTCAGTGATGTGGTCGCTATGGCAACCTGGTCTTATGATGGCCTGTAAACCCACAGCACGAGTCATGGGAAAGAGTGTAGCTCAGAGTGAAGCTCCCCATGCACAATTTAAAAAAAAAAAAAAAGTAATTTCACTGTCCTCCCTAAAACCAGAATGTTGCCGCAACAACAATAACAGTCAATCAGAACTTGTTCAATGTTGAAAATAAAGGAGATGAAATAGAAACCAAGAGACCAATACCTATTTGGACAAAACTCAGATCAGTGTGATTTATCATGTGGTAAAAGCGACACATTGTTACTCTGTGTGTAGGGATGTGGTTGAGTATGTACCTGTAGCTGCAGAAGTAGATGCAGCCATATTAATGACTTGCCCTGGTTTGTCCACGATAATGTAGGGGTTATTTATGACTGAGGGGCTGGACTTCATGTGCACTGGCGTGGATGATGATGTCCGGGGGAGAGGAGAGTGACTAGGGGTGGAGATAGGAGAGCCTGGAACACAAAAAATGGTGTTTCTATGATTAGATTTACAGTGTGATCCTCATAAACTTCTCATCATGTTTCAGAGCCACACAGACTGCAAATCTGTAATGCTTTACAGAGCAGTTTCGCATCTTTACAATGGTCTTCTTTTCTTGTCTTATCTTTATACAGCAAGCCAGCTGAGTTTGATGATTGGAGTTTCCTTAAAATGACAAACTCGAGACTGATTTACTGTCTTTAAACAATTTTTGAGTGTCAGAGAGTACAGCATTTTAAAGTGCCCCTATTATGCCTTTTCGAGTATTACCTTTCATGCAGTGTGTCATGTAGCTGTATGTGAACATAAACTATCTGCAAAGTTGTGAAGCTGACAGTGCACGATAAATAAAGTTATTGTCTATCAGTCGGCTCGCAATCGCCTAAACGAGTCATCAGGAATTCGAATCTTATTCTGTTACGGCTCTACGTCACGAAGTAACACATTTGCATAATGTCTGCCCATGTTCTACGTTGCCAACTTGCCCGCCCACAAACAGTAAATTTTCCGTGTGGTTAACATCATGTCGAGAAGATGCTGTATCCTACGCTGTGAGAGTAAATTTGTTTTATCACATCTTATAATTACCACAAACTTGTTAACACTTGACACTTACCACTGAGAAACGTCCTGCTCCACTCGTGCTTGCGAATCAGTCTCTTGTCGATCAGCCAGTTCAACCATTTCATCATCAGACTCCGGCTCGAATTGGTAAGGTACAATTGATACCATCTTTTCTATGTATTGACAAGTCTCCAGGACTGTCATTCCGTCATGGCAATGGGTGTTTCGTTTCCGACACGCGCTGTACACGGTAGACCAATCCAGAGCCAATCTCTCTACGGCTCTGGACCAATCACAAAGGACTGCGCCATCTGACCAATCACAGCAGTGAGGGCTCACGGAAAGGAGGGGTTTAGAGAGACTGATTCTTTGAACTGCTTCACACGAGTAGTTTACGAATCATTTAGAAATTAGGTAAAATTAAATAAATTTTTTGAGAAAACTAACGTGTTTTTTGACCTTGCATGCATGTAAACCTGTTTTAGGAGACTCATAAAACAATATTAGCAACCTTAAAAATGGCATAATAGGGGAACTTTAATGCATGTCTGTTAACTTACATGACAGCTGTATACTTACGCATTCCTAATAGTTTAACAGATAAAAATTAATATTTAACAGCTATAAATGTTTTTCACACAATGGAAAAAAAAAATTATATATATATACAGTGGGTACGGAAAGTATTCAGACCCCCTTAAATTTTTCACTCTTTGTTATATTGCAGCCATTTGCTAAAATCATTTAAGTTAATTTTTTTTCCTCATTAATGTACACACAGCACCCCATATTGACAGAAAAACACAGAATTGTTGACATTTTTGCAGATTTATTAAAAAAGAAAAACTGAAATATCACACGGTCCTAAGTATTCAGACCCTTTGCCCAGTATTTAGTAGAAGCACCCTTTTAATCTAATACAGCCATGAGTCTTTTTGGGAAAGATGCAACAAGTTATTCACACCTGGATTTGGGGATCCTCCGCCATTCCTCCTTGCAGATCCTCTCCAGTTCTGCCAGGTTGGATGGTAAACGTTGGTGGACAGCCATTTTTAGGTCTCTCCAGAGATGCTCAATTGGGTTTAAGTCAGGGCTCTGGCTGGGCCATTCAAGAACAGTCACAGAGTTGTTGTGAAGCCACTCCTTCGTTATTTTAGCTGTGTGCTTAGGGTCATTGTCTTGTTGGAAGGTAAACCTTCGGCCCAGTCTGAGGTCCTGAGCACTCTGGAGAAGGTTTTAGTCCAGGATATCCCTGTACTTGGCCACATTCATCTTTCCCTCGATCGCAACCAGTCGTCCTGTCCCTGCAGCTGAAAAACACCCCCACAGCATGATGATGCCACCACCATGCTTCACTGTTGGGACTGTATTGGACAGGTGCCTGGTTTTCTCCACACATACCGCTTAGAATTAAGGCCAAAAAGTTCTATCTTGGTCTCATCAGACCAGAGAATCTTATTTCTCACCATCTTGGAGTCCTTCAGATGTTTTTTAGCAAACTCCATGCGGGCTTTCATGTGTCTTGAACTGAGGAGAGGCTTCCGTCGGGCCACTCTGCCATAAAGCCCCGACTGGTGGAGGGCTGCAGTGATGGTTGACTTTCTACAACTTTCTCCCATCCCCCGACTGCATCTCTGGAGCTCAGCCACAGTGATCTTTGGGTTCTTCTTTACCTCTCTCACCAAGGCTCTTCTCCCCCGATAGCTCAGTTTGGCCGGACAGCCAGCTCTAGGAAGGGTTCTGGTCATCCCAAACGTCTTCCATTTAAGGATTATGGAGGCCACCGTGCTCTTAGGAACCTTAAGTGCAGCAGAAAGTTTTTTGTAACCTTGGCCAGATCTGTGCCTTGCCACAATTCTGTCTCTGAGCTCTTCAGGCAATTCCTTTGACCTCATGATTCTCATTTGCTCTGACATGCACTGTGAGCTGTAAGGTCTTATATAGACAGGTGTGTGGCTTTCCTAATCAAGTCCAATCAGTATAATCAAACACAGCTGGACTCAAATGAAGGTGTAGAACCATCTCAAGGATGATCAGAACAAATGGACAGCACCTGAGTTAAATATATGAGTGTCACAGCAAAGGGTCTGAATACTTAAGACCATGTGATATTTCAGTTTTTCTTTTTTAATAAATCTGCAAAAATGTCAACAATTCTGTGTTTTTCTGTCAATATGGGGTGCTATGTGTACATTAATGAGGAAAAAAAATTAACTTAAATGATTTTAGCAAATGGCTGCAATATAACAAAAAGTGAAAAATTTAAGGGGGTCTGAATACTTTCCGTACCCACTGTATACAGTATATATACATATATGTAGCTGTGTTATTGTTAATTTCATAATCTTTCTGTCTTTTTTCTTGCCATTTTATCTAATTGGTAACTTATCTACAGCAGATAATTGATTATTTGCATTACACTAATGCTTAATCTTTACTCAAACAATGTCTTTAGCAAATATTTGATAAAAGCTCCTTAAAAAAAATAACACCTTTGCTCTAAGCGGATTTGCAGAAGGTTCAGTAAACTTTCTATAAACTTTATATGTCTTCAACTGTGTAAAACAATCAAATAATCAGATCAAGTCACCACAGCAATTCCAAAACTTCCAGAAAATGATTTAAAAAATAAGGAATTTTAAGATTATTTAATTATTATTTACACTGTCTGTAGAACAAAAGTTTATGGTTATTTTCTGCCATAAGTTTTCGGACATTTCACTTAACCCTAAAATACAACACAATGCAAAAAAACAGGTAAAACATCTGTGAAAAATCTTCGTATTAACACAGTACTTTGGACCCCATTTTACAGACTTTTCTTAGAGTCTATTATTATTATTACGTTTTTTTTATTTGTCCTTCACTCTTTATCTTTGCAGTAAAACCTTGCACTTGCACAAATCTTTGCACTAAAGACCTTGATGCAAATCAGTAAAAACATTTTGCCATTTCTATTTTCTTTAACCAAGCTCACCACAAACTTAGGAAACAGAAGTTGTCATCCCTCCTTCATTTCTATATACCTGAATAAGAAAAAACGTGATTTGAAAGTTGCTGATGATCACAAATTGCAAGCTTTTTGATAAAATAATCAGTTTTCACACATGAATCACAGGAAATAGTCACAAAAACATCATCCCTTATCAAGTGAACTGCTTTTAATGACTCAATGAAAACTTGATTATACTGCGCACTGAATAAATATATTATCTGTCAAGTGACTTTTTTTCTACTCTTTGTGTGCTGATGGGACAGTTAAGGATCTTTGACTTACCTCCAAAGTGCCGTAAAAATCATTATCTTTAGTTATTAACCACAAGAATGGGTACGCAGAGACATGTACATGTAATCAGATTCTCAATCTCTGATAAGACATTAATTATTGCCATGCACAGAGTCTCAGTCACAGCCCTTCTTTTCACATTCAGCTGACAGGACATTTTCCCCATCTTCAAGACACTCCGTGACTCACTGGCCTGGTGGGACGATGCCAAAGTTCACTACATATACTACCTGCATCCACTCAGACGGTCCTTATCTCCCACAGCTCCCTGCTGTCGACACCATCAGAGATTCCCCCACAGATACCCACCGCAGGGAGCCCAGGAGATCATGAAGCTGAAGCTGCCGAACCCAGGCCTGGAGGACAGGATCCTGAGCCATGATGAGCTGGAACGGCTGGAGGTGGAAGAGGCTGGAGACAGACCCAAGTGGGACAACAAAGCCCAGTACATGCTGACCTGCGTGGGATTCTGTGTGGGTTTGGGCAACGTCTGGCGCTTCCCCTACCTGTGCCAGAGCCATGGAGGAGGTGAGTGCTTGCTTGGGCTTCTGAGGGGCTGAATTGAGTTGGATCTGTGCTCGAACCATTGAGAGGCGTTCATTCCTATCAGTTCAGATTAGAGGTGGACCATTATGTCAGAGGTACAATCGATAGCAAAAATACAAACGTATTGTCCGCACACTGATGTAACTGCTCCATAAAAATAATTTATTGCGGCAACGTTTCGACCATCAGGTCTTCGTCAGGCAGAAGTCGGTAGGCCGGTGCTTGACGAAGACCTGATGGTCGAAACGTTGCCACAATAAATTATTTTTATGGAGCAGTTACATCAGTGTGCGGACAATACGTTTGTATTTTTGGCTATAGTTTTGACTTTTTTTTTTTTGTCCTGCACCTGAGCCCTGTGTGGGTTTGTGGGATGTGCGCAACTATCTTACACAAAGGTACAATCGATACCATCTTTTCTATGTATTGACAAGTCTCCAGGGCTGTCATTCCGTCATGGCAATGGGCGTTTCGTTTCCGACACGTGCTGTACGCGGTAGACCAATCCAGAGCCAATCTCTCTACGGCTCTGGACCAATCACAAAAGACTGCACCATCTGACCTATCACAGCAGTGAGGGCTCACGGAAAGGAGGGGTTTAGAAAGACTGATTCTTTTAACTGCTTCGCACGAGTCGTTTACGAATCATTTAAAAATGAGGTCAAATTAAATATAATTTTGGAGAAAACTAACATGTTTTTTGACCTTGCATGCATGTAAACCTGTTTTAGGAGACTCATAAAACAATATTAGCAACCTTAATGGCATAATAGGGGCACTTTAATAAGTCATTGGGAAACACAGTCATGTTTATGCAAGTTCATGCAAAACTGCAACAAGTCAAGTAATTTCCTAGATTTGTCAAAGTTTACGAGTTTCACAGCATCAAATCTTTGAAAGTTAGGCACTAGTAAGTAAACAACATACAACTGGTAGTTTGGTAATTTTTTTATGCCAATCAGATGGCCTGCGATTATCCCTTGAAAATCTACTGCTTTTCTTTCAGTTGTTTTGGCAGTCATATGCTTTTTTGTGGACATATTCATACATTCAATATTCATTCATTTTACCATAGTGAATAAGTGGTGGAACAGTTGCTTCACGACCAATTTGAAAGTTGAGTTTGGCTGTCACTAGGGGGCAAAACACGACAATCATACATAAATGTCAGAGATAGTGATATGGTGGCATAAGTGGGCGGTTCTTGTACAGAATAAGACCCAACGTGGACCAGACTTTATAAAGAGTAGGTCTGGCAAGGCAAGAATAGGACATATCAGACTGAGCTCGTCTTAGATATGCTGTCACTCACTGACAGCAAATCTATAATGCATTATAGAGGAGTTTCACAACTTTCTGACAGTCTCTTTTCTCCAGAAAATTGAAACCTCCCGCAGAAAAAAGCCAAAGCAACATGAAAGAGTCTGTATATAGAGGATTTTACTGCTTGCATTTCAACTCTGCTCTTCTCCACCTTCTTTGTGCACCTGTGAGACTCACCAGACACAATCTTGCAGCTCATCGTGATCGGCTGGAATGATTTCCCAGGTGATTCAGCGGGACTGGGCACTTGCCCTTGTGGAATTATCTTACAGCTGGCCGTGATTGGCTGAAAGGCAGAGTTTCCGTGGGAACCAAGGGTGATTTTCTCAGTCCTGTTTGACTGCGAATTTCGTTCAGAACATGAAGAACGCACCGACTCACTCTTGACAGTCACACCTGGAACTGAAATTTCGTAATCAATAGATGTAATCAATAATTCACTTTTACACATTTAAGTTCATTTTCATACAAGTGACTAGGGCAAGGAATGTATAATGAAGGTCTAGTCTTGGACTGATACCGATTTTCAAAACACAGCTTCCACTGCTTATGCAATAAAGTGCAAACATCCTACTAATCCCCTTAACCAAAATAATCCCATTTTAAAGACACAGTAGGAGACTGCATAATTATTTTGTGCTACTATGTGGCATCTTGTGAGATGGACAAGCATTTGTGTGTTTTGTCTACCTCTATCTGAGCTGGGCTGATCATCATGAGTGTGCTGAGAGGGAGAGGAGGGCCGCCGAGAGCCTTGGGCAGCTGTGGAGGAGGACGAACCAGACCCACCCACAAACAGCAGATGAGAGGAAGATGATGATGATGATGAAGTCGAGGGGGCAGAGGGGATGAAGTCATCACCTAGTGAGTTTCTGTGGAGCTCAACATCCACCACCTTTAGGAAATAAGAAATAAAGAGAGAAAAACTGGCATTTTAAAGATGAATCAAGATATATTTGACACTTGTAATAAACCTTGTCATCACAAAATCATTTTAGAACTATAAAATCCTGCACTTTATAACGCGTCCTGCTTGAAAAGCAATTTTCTGCTCCCTGAGTTCTACAACTTAAAAGAAACCATCTTTTTCAGCATTTTATTTTTTCCTTAGAGTAAAAAATGTAATTTTCTACACACCTTGTTATACACATATTCTGGAAAATCAGTTACAGCGTTAAATTATGCTGTGGCGTCATGGTCAGAAACCAGATTTTATTTCCTTTTTTACTTTGCTACGAGTGAACAACAACAATAAATCTTCTTTTGACACTTTCACTCATAACTCTAGTTGTGTGCTTGCTGCCACCTTGAAGACTATGACATTTTCATCACTATATTCACAACTGAGACCATGACCTCTGTTCCTTGCCCATTTAGGTAAGTGACATGTGCTCTTTCTTTAAGTTGATAACTGACAGACATACACAACATTCTTATTTTCTCAGAGGATTTACAGTCCCTTTAGCCTTTCAACCTGTTTTGATGTGCTAATTTGATTCTATATAAATGAGATGATCTTATGTAATTCTGCACATATGTGTACATGACCAAGAATCTGCTATTTTTTTTTAATTTAGTACTGTCTTCCTGAAACTATTTAACAAAACAGGTATTTACATATATCCCACAAGACAAAACAATATCTGAATTTACACTAATTATCCTGTTGTAAAGCTTATACACTGGTTCTTAATATAGTGTGTCTCCTTGAGCAGTAATGTCTATTCATACCCTCTTTTTTTTTTTTTGATAGTTGTGCTTCTGCAGAGTAGTACGTAATAAAAAGAAAACTAAATTTTTAGGATCTCTCATCTTAAAATAAAAAACCTAATTATGTAAACTTATAAAAAGTTTCATGTAAAGATTAAGATGCTCAGGGTGTCTTACCGTTTCAGCTCCCAAAGTCTGTAAACCTGTGTATGTTCTGTCAAGCTGAGGGAGAACAAATAAAAGATAAATAACAGAAACATTAAAGAGCACTCAACAGTCTTTGCTGCAGAGAATCTAAGAGGTTGATGGGTGGACGAAAATACTTTAATCGGCAAACTATTTTTTTTCCTTGACATCTCGATTAATCTTCATTTATATTATCTTTGTTATTTTAACCTATAACAAAAGGGATTGCTGTGACAACAGATAAAGGAGAAAGGAAATAAATGCTTTTTAAAAGTGACCATTTCACCTTTAGACTCAGAGAATCCCACATAAAGGATGGATTCGTACAGACATATTCTATTATGCACAATCTGCACACACACAAAATAAATGGAATCCTCTAAGTCAATTTCAAATAAATACTGTTTGAATATCCCATAAATAAATACAAAGATAAAGAGGGAGAAAAGGAAAGATGAAAAGGGCAACAAAAGGGTTCAAAGAGAGTCCGTATGCAAGCGGTCAGTAAGTCTCTGACCTTTAAGTGGTGGATGATATCAATACGTTTGTTCCGTTGATCTTTAAAGTGAATCTGCACGCGGACAGGAAACTCTCCCCACCCTCGCCTGGTCAGGTGAAATGGTGGCTCACTAAACACACACACACACACACACACACACAGAGTCTTTCTCTCTCAGCAGGCTGAACTTAACAAATGCACCACAGGGCTGCATATAGTCTATAGGCTGCATTTCTCAAAAGCATCCTGAGCTAAGTTGCTCGTAGAGACCATTGGTGGCAATGGTTCTACAATCTACTTGGATGCTTTTGAGAATTGCGGCCCAGAGCAAAATGAATCTTCACTAATAGGGAAAAAATGTAGTCAGTAGAGGTGTGCACAAATAACTGAATATTCAAATATTAGATCTGTAATTATTATTCGAAAAATAAAAATTTTTTACTACGTGTTGCTTTGCAGGCCATAAATGCAGGGAATCCATGATTAATCCTAAGCACACAAACTAAAAGTCAGTTATAACTAAATTCACTGGGTGGTGCTGTGAAGCGTATTAACAAGTTGATTGTATTTGATCAAAGAATGTCGTCGGCTGCCTCGTGAATTTTGGAATTACTTTGATCAAAATGATCTTACTAAATGATCTCACAAAATGGAATTACTTTAGATCAAATGAATCAGTGAAACGGAGTTATCATAATATCACCACCACAATGAGAAATCACATGAAATCCAAACCCCACTCGACTGAGGAAAGACAGCTGTCCATCATTGCATTCATGACTGCAGGTAAACGCAGCTGTAGCGAAATGATCTTGAGACATATGCTTCCTTTAAGTTTCAGAGGGAGAGCTTTGTGTATAGGCCAATCAAGTGTATGTATGTTCTGTACTGTAATTGGCACAGTGTGCTTTATTTTTTTCCATTTGCTTTCCTTGAGCTTGATTGCTTTTGTTCTTTATATATATTTTTTGTTTACACAAATGCCTAATCATAAGCTTGTTCAGAAAGGGTGACAAAAACTAGATTTTTAAAAAATGACGCCTTTCTCCTTTCTCCATCATTTAAATAAACAAATATTAGAATATGCGTTTTTTATGAGCTCAAATATTCAAATACAATATATTTTTTAAAAAGCCTTGGAAAATCTTTGTGGAAAAAATCACTTTTATTTATCAAGGATACATTAAGTGTATCAAAAGTGAAAGTAAAGACTTAATGTTACAAAATAAAATATTTCAAATAAATGGTGTTCTTTTGAAAATTCTGATGCAGCACAACTGAAAGTAAACACACACCTGATTTCCACAAGGTCATTGGGTTTGTAGCTGGGGTGCAGGAAGAACCAGACCTTCTTCACAAAATGATCGATACTGGGCTCTTTACGAGAACCTCGAACATACACCATCCATTTATGAGTGGACTGATCATTCTCCTCACGTTTATCAGGGGCAATATACCTGAGAGAGAGAGAAACAACATCAGTCTAAAAATCTAACTCAAATCAATTTATAGAAGCATACACACATTCACTCATGCTGGGGAAGGTTTGCTGTTCATGACCCTGAGACAGAGATAAAAGCCAATGTGAACCTCCCAGTAACAGTCAGAACAGCCAACTGTCCAGTTATATTTAAACATGTTAAACATATTGAAACTCTTAATGACACTCTTCTT